CTGTGAAAGCGAACCGGGTTCATAATCGCATTGGTTGCAACGAGTTTTGATCTGAAATCTTGGAATGGTAGGAGTAAAAGAAAATGTAGGATTTCGCTTCAGATCTAGTTTTCTTATAGCCAAAAATTACTCAAATAGAATTGAAGTGACAATTTTGATGCACGAAAGAACCCTGCTCCTTCCGAAAAAGGCTGGCACCGAATTTCTTTGATCACCACTGGTGATATGTATCAATATAAATTGTACTTTGCGCTTTACTCATTCACGCATGAGAAAAAGAACTGGTCTTTCGGGTTGTCACTTAATGAACTTTCGGGTTGTCACTTAAACTAGGACAGATCTGGGATTCGTTTTTCATCAAAGAAAAAAACCCTTTTTCTATTTCTCTCCGACCCTTGCTGTGTCAGGCACTTCAGATGTGCGCGCCAGGCCTCTTTTCCCTTACTTCCGTCCGAACGTTACTACCAGGAATCAATAGTAATAGTTTTCAAACATATACTACCTTTTTCGGTGGTTCCTTATTGTCATCTCTTCTCTCCACCATCTTACAATAGTACTGCTTATGAGCTTTTAGTGTCTCATCAGCTGAGAATGACACACCACATGCGCAAAGGAACGGTTTCTCTATGTCCGAATGAGAAGTCTGAACAAAAAATATTTTTTTCGGATAATTTGAGAAGTGGGACAGCGTCTATTGCGCCACAAACTGACGCGAACTGAATTTCCTGGAGTGGTGGTACCAGAGCTTCCAGAATCTTCCCTTCTTCTTTTCGATAAATCCAAAGGTGTTGAAATGGGTCTTTCGATGGTGCGCTTAAGTCCAGCTAGTCCACTGAAATACTTGATTTGGCCTCAACAGTGCATTCTTTGCTTTTTCTCACCTCATTCCTACAGGAAGTACTGGAATGGTGACTGTCAAGTCCCCAATGGCGAATTTCAGTTGTGGAGGCGGTTGCACTGCTCCACAGAGACTTCTTTGCACTAGAATTGGTTCTGTAATCGGTACGGCCAGTTGCGGAACTCCATTCGGTGCTACAGAAGGTCGTCCTATGGCCACTGGCACAATAGTCTGAGGTGGTCCAAGTAGCTAGAAAAAATATGGCTAAGATCTACAAGAGCTTTTGTTAGGCAGTAAAGTAAGCTGATTCCTACCTGAACCATCTCATGCTGGTGATCGTGATAGGCGATTGGTACCAAAATTACATTCTGTGGTGCTATCCCCGCTTGTCTATTGATACTTGGCAGAAAAGACGGTGGTGGTGCTGCTATCAACACTGGAATCAGTTGAGATTGACTGATAGCTATTTCCGGCTA